TCGTCTCTCTTGCTCCCGCTCCCGCTCCTGCTCCCGCTGCCACTGCTCGCCGCTGTCGCTGCTCGCAAACGCTGCCGCTGTCGCTGCTCGCAACGCTGCCGCTGTCGTCGCTCGACGCCTCCGCTGTCGTCGCTCGCGCCTCCCGCTGCTCACCGCTCCTGCTCCTGCTCCCGCTGCTCGTCGCTGTCGCTGCCGCTGTCGTCGCTCGCCGCTACCGCTGCCGTTGCCGGTTTATTTGAAATTATTAATTTTCAATACTGTTAATAGATTTTCTTAATTTAATAGCATATTTTAATTTAAAATTTTAAATAATTATATTTATTAATTATATTATATATTTTTATATTTTAGCGCTTCGCTTCACTCGGGCGAGCGCCCGGCACCTCGAGCGTTTTTGGACCTTGGCGCCTTTTGGTGCCTAGCGCTTTTTAAATCATTGCTTATGTATCTGTCTGAGATTTTAATATTCTGGCATCTTGTTTTGGTCAACTATCAGCAGACTGTGAATCTTAGTGGAGAGTAGTTATAAATATTAACTAATATTGGTATTTTTCAAATGTATTTTTTCATAATTCAAACACATTTATTTTTATGGTTCGTTTTATCAGTCCATACTGGTGTACCAACTGTCGGTATGTACCGTACCACATTGTACCATGCCATACCGAGTGTACTGACACATGATATATGGGGGGTGTACCAATGTACCGACACATAGTATATGGAATGCACCAATGTACCGCTCATATTGGTCTCTTATTGGACCAGTATGTACCGCCTGTACCGAGTGGTACATTGCGGTATGACGAACCTTGTTTATTTTCTTATATATATTGCATCTTGATGCCCTTAAAAGATGCAGTTTTGGTCTATGATAGAACTTGGAGCGCATTCCTTATGTCCATGCTTATCTATGTGAGCCTATATTGATGTACATAACTGTGTGCAGTTTATTACTAACACCTTGGCATTTGGGCAAGCATGTGGCTGGCAAACATATGGCTGGGCAACGATCCTGTTTCTGGGTGCTAATTGCTCTGTAGTTGAGCATTTATTGATGGGAAATAGTTTAGATCTTGATGATGATGACTATGATGATGATAGATTGATTGCCGAACTTCTCTTTATGTTCAGGTGGGAGAGGCTGCTCTGGCTATACTACACAGCATGGTGTCTGCACGATCTGATCTTGATGATGCTGGAGAGATTGTAACTCCAACACCAAGGGTGAAGCGAATTTTGTCAAGTCCTCGATGTCTTCCACATATTGCTCAGGTGATATTTTCATACCAAATGTGTTTGTAAGCTTGAATTACCCTTGCATTAAGCTTGAATTACCCTTTCATGGAATGAAAAACTAGATCAACTCAGCAGGTCCTCATAGAAAGAATTTAAAGCATAGAACCCACCATTTACTGCGGCATGCTAGACAGGCCTACTTTTAGCACTGAAAGTAGTAATCTGCAAGGAATCATGAGCGACACTTTTGATGCAACTCCTTCAGATTGCAGTAACAGAAACTCAGCAAGCTATTGCTGGAATTATTAATCCACATCCTCTATTAGATTTCAGATGCAGAAACTAGAAACTTTAAGAAAATAGTTATGCAAGGCTAAGAAGAGCAAGAACTAAAATTTATATTCAACTTTTCCAGAAAGTCTATGCGATCAGAATTTTTTTGCATAGCAGTTCTATATCAGAACTTCAATCTGATGGTGTCCACGACGCTTTGCAAAATGATTCTCTGCCGTTGACCAAAAAAGATTCCTTTCTGTTGAGATATTATATATTGCAGCAGCTAAAAGAGGTTTCCTCATGGTCGTCATTATCAGATCCCCTTTGCAATCCTGTAAGAGCCATCTATCTTCCCACTCTAGATTAAAAGACCTCCCAGCTTCACAAAAGCATGTTGTGTTAATTCATAGACCTTTAGTAATGGAACAATTGGAAGAATAGATTATTTGAGTTCTCGCAAACAGAAGTTTTAACATAGAAAATGTAGTTAATATTCTGTAAATGTTTTAATCTGGGCCTGATGATATAAAACTTTTATAAGTGGTATCATTCACTAATATAATCTTATTTGGCAAAATAAAGATGCTGTGCTAGGATACTTGGAAGTCTGAACACTGAACAAAATTAATCTTAGCAGATCAACTCTGCCTGGGTAAGAACGAGACCTGTTCCCCAATTTTTCGCTCCATGGTGATCTTGTCACTCAAGACCTGACAATCAGCATGACTGAGCTTTGAAAAGATAAGAGGTTAACCTAGATGTCTGACAATCAGCATGTTTAGTATAATTTCTCACCTAGTTTATACTAATGTATTGTCTTTAGGCCTCACAATTGAATGGTCAAATTTTGGTGAAGTTGGGCCAGCCAAATAGTATGTAATATCATGGACTTAATAGACTATGTCTAGTGATTAAGCTTTTGCAGTGGTGTATCCCTGAACACTGATTAGAGACGCAACCTTTTTCAGTGAAACTTGAGTCACCAAGCACTGCTTATGTTGGACTTTGGCATACAACATTGTTAGTGAGAAAAAACCCAGTGAGAGAAATAGCAGTCTGAAGTTTGATATATTTGATGTTTCAGTGACTGAGCTTGCTTTAAAGGATTTGCTATCTTAGATTTGCTACATTAAGTGAACAAAACTTCAAGTTGTTTGGCTTGGGCAACACATATTACCAATACTTTTCTGCTGAGTTTTCATTTTGTTTCGTGGAAAGTCACTTGAAAGAATGTGTAAGTTTGAAAAATCACTGGCACTTTCTTCGTAATGTGCAAGTTCATTAGATTAGGCTTGGAGGTCTGATGTCAAGTTGACAGCTTCTTCTAAATTCTCTACCACTTCTACATTGTCTTTTGTTGTTGGTCTATTTTTGATACGCTTAATTTGATATGCTTACCTTTCTTTTTCTTGAAAGTTCTGTGGCTATGTAAATTCTCAAGCAAATTGCCTTGTTGGTAATTTTGAGATTTTCAACTAGAGAAATTTAGGAAAAACATATTTTCTGTACTTCTAATATGTATGTGGCGGGCATGTGTGTCTGATATGGCATGCATCAGTATATTTATATGTAGCTGGAGTTCCAGATTTAACTTTTTATTACCATATCTAACTTTGTATTCTGTTTCTTGTTATGCATGTTATTTCTATTTTTCGAAAAATTTCTTCTAATTTTCACTCTATTAGAGCATTATATTCATGAACACTGGACTTGTTTCTGGAAATGCAGGTCCAGTTTTTCTGTAAAGTACTTTTGACCAACTATCAGGTCTCCTTGTTAGGACCAGTTATTAAATTTGACTTTTAGTGCTGCATTTCATGGGCTATGAGCTTTTATAGCTTATAATTGAACATAAGCATCTCGAGTCTATTGTATCCTTGTTTTGTAGTCAATAAATAGGCTGTTTACTGTTTCAAATTCTTGTATAAACTCATAGTCAAGCAATACATTATTCTTTCTTGTGCCCCATGCAAATGACTGGAGTCAGTAAAGACCAGCAATTGATAGATTGCTAATGCCTCTGTGAGATATCAGGCTATTCTTACTGGGGAACCTAGCATCGTTGAGGTGGCTGCTTCCTTGCTCAAGGCTATTGTGACAAGAAATCCAAAGGCAATGGTTCGATTATATAGCACTGGTGCCTTTTATTTTTCTCTTGCATATCCTGGATCTAATCTTCATTCGATCGCACAACTATTTTCTGTGACACACATCCATCAAGCATTCCATGGTGGTGAAGAGGCAGCAGTATCTTCGTCTTTGCCCTTGGCAAAGCGAAGTGTACTGGGTGGACTTCTTCCAGAATCCTTGTTATATGTACTGGAGCGTAGTGGACCTGCAGCTTTTGCTGCAGCGATGGTATCTGATTCTGATACCCCAGAAATCATTTGGACACACAAAATGAGAGCAGAACATCTGATTCGGCAGGTACATCTACATGCTCTTCAAGTGATATAATTTGTCAATTTGCCTGACATTGTTTTAATTCTTATTTGTCTTGTGATTCATCTGATCATCGAATACCATGGTAACCCATATGTTGCCAGGTTTTGCAGCATCTTGGTGATTTTCCACAGAAGTTATCACAGCACTGTCATTCATTGTATGATTATGCTCCTATGCCTCCAGTAACTTATCCAGAACTACGAGATGAAATGTGGTGCCATCGTTATTATCTCCGAAATTTGTGTGATGAGATAAGGTTTCCCAATTGGCCCATCGTTGAGCATGTTGAATTTTTACAGTCACTGTTGGTAATGTGGCGTGAGGAATTAACTCGGCGTCCGATGGATCTTTCCGAGGAAGAAGCTTGCAAGATATTGGAGATCTCCATGGATGACATTATAATTGGTAAGAATAGGCAACCTTCGGAGGCAGAGGATGACAAATATAACAAGCCCAGTCAGATTGATAGCATAGATGAAGAAAGGCTTAAACGCCAATATCGGAAACTGGCGATAAAGTATCATCCTGACAAAAATCCTGAAGGGAGGGAGAAGTTTGTCGCTGTGCAGAAGGCTTATGAACGGTTGCAGGTATATGTTTGCATATTACTAAATCTTCTTATATATTTTCATTTAGCTATTTTTTATATTGTTGATAAATTACTTTATTTATTCTAATTCTTGAATATAAAACTTTAGCAAGATTGACAAGATGAAGATTATTTGCCATCATGTTCTGTCTGTCTTTTTATCCTCTCGCAAAAGCAAATAATCTTGCAGATTCATGTTAGAAAAAGATTAATTGTCCATGGTATTGCTTGAATATCAATATTTACCCTAAAAAATTGGTATAATTATTGGTATTGTTGCTTAATTACTACATAAGTTTACAAATGTGAAGATGATAATAAAACATTTTGAGATGTACAATTTGGGAAATTCCTGATGTTCGGTTGATTGATCCATGGTTTAAAACACTATCAATCTATAAAAGCTTGCTAAGCGTTTATCCCTGTTTTGCATCTATATTTTCACGCCACATTGCTTGCTTTACGAGTCATCTCAATCTCAAAACTAGCAGCCAAATTAGACATAATTGATGGCATTCGAGAGTCCTTGGTCTTTCCTCTATGCACAAATTTCTTTCTATGTTTCTGTAAATTTATAAATGATATTTGTCAAGAATGCATATAGTAGATGTAGACAACACTTGCTTTTGGAGTATCTTTAAATGTACTTTTTTGCATTTGTGTCTAACCACAGCAGCAACTATCGCAAGGAAGTATATGCAAGTAGTGCTGAATTATAAAATTAATGCAAGATTGATCAACTCTAATGAATTTTAATTTTTTATCGATCATAAGAAATAACTGCTATTTTCTTCATATTCGACTATATTGTTTTTGTGCTAGCAGGCAACCATGCAAGGATTGCAAGGTCCACAAGTTTGGAGGTTGTTACTTCTGCTAAAGGGACAGTGCATCTTGTACAGACGATATGGTGGTGTCTTGGAACCCTTCAAATATGCTGGATATCCGATGTTGCTAAATGCTGTTACCGTTGATGAGGATGATAGCAATTTCCTTTCATCAGAAAGGGCCCCTCTTCTTATTGCAGCTTCAGAGCTGATTTGGCTGACGTATATATTTTTTGTTTACAATGCTTTTTTAATATTCTCAGCTTGATCTATCCTTTCCTTTTGTGTGTATCTGATATGCTTCTGTTCTTCTGCATCAGGTGTGCATCATCTTCTTTGAATGGTGAAGAGCTTATCAGAGATGATGGGATTCCCCTCTTAGCAACCCTTCTTTCCCGTTGCATGTGTGTGGTTCAACCCACAACACCTGCAAATGAACCTGCTACCATCATCGTGACAAATGTGATGCGTACCTTTTCTGTTGTGAGTCAGTTTGAAACAGCAAGAGCTGAGATGCTCAAATTTGGAGGTCTTGTAGAGGACATTGTGCACTGCACTGAACTAGAGCTAATTCCTGCAGCTGTTGATGCTGCTCTTCAAACAGCAGCTCATTTATCAGCATCATCTGAATCACAGGATGCTCTACTTGCAGCTGGCCTGTTATGGTACATGTTGTTTTAAAGTTTTCTTCTGTTCCTTTTTGCTAAACTAGGGAAATAATATCATGTTACACCTTAAAAGTTATACACCATATTCTCTCTTTGATAAACTGACTGACTCAAGGAATCAATAATGTATGAAACTGTATCACTAGCTGATATATATATATTATTATTATTATTATTATTATGGGTTCAAAATTTCATTTTTCAGGTACCTATTGCCGCTTCTGCTCCAGTATGATTCTACAGCAGAGGAGAATGGTCTAAATGAGGCTCATGGTGTTGGTGCTAGTGTTCAAATTGCTAAAAATATCCATGCAGTTCTCGCAACTCAAGCTCTATCCAAGCTATGTGGTGTTTGTGAAGATGGAGTGTCAATCCCTTATAACCAACCGGCTGCTAGTGCACTCCGGGCTTTACTTACTCCCAAGCTTGCTAATATGCTTAAAAGTCGGGCATCAAAGGATCTTTTGTCAAATTTAAATGCAAATCTGGAGACTCCAGAGGTTAACAAATCAGAACTTTTTTCCCTTTTTCAAGTTTATAATTGTTACAGTTTTTAATCTAAAACTAGTGATCCTAAACCATGTTGAGTTCCAATAAACTTGTTATAGTATTGCTTGTTCTTTCACATGTGCTTTTGCATCTGATCATTGCTAATTTTAAAGGTGCAAGTGATGTCTCCAGATCTAATGACCATCTGAGAAATATTTTTTAAGTGTTTCTCACTTTTGTATCCGAAGGATGTGAGGCAGGTTGCTCAGTAGTGGAAGCCTGTGCAGCGGGCTGTCTTTTATTCTTCAAGTTCATAATTTTGGAAGACAAAGATCAAAATAGTTGTACGAAGATCAGAGTGTTTCTTGTTTTGTCCGTTATCATTATCAACATCAACCAATTTTGTTTTCTTACATGCATTAATCTGGTAATGCAAGAATCTAATGAACCAGGTTGTACCTAGGAGTAGATAGACATACAAATACTGCACATTTTATCTGCATCAAATTTTCACTGCAAATGCTTTTAAGTTTCTTTATTGCTTACTTCAGCCAGAATTTGACTAGAAAGCTTCAAGTGTTTTAGCATTGGGTTTATGATATTAGCATGTGTATGAATATGCTCTTTGTAGTTTTTTTTTATTTGAGAGTAACCTTTTGAAGTACTCCTGGGTTACTAATTAAGGTAGCTATCTACGGGACATAGGTGGAGGACATAATACCTGTAAGTTAATTAGTATATAGGTATGTAGGTTACCTATAATGCAGGCAGTGTAGTTCATGACCATGAAACTTTGGATCAAAGAGTTGAAGGTTCCCATTGATCCAGGAGTATTCTCAGAGAGATAACATGGAAAATTTTGATTTAGAAAATGAAAGCAAATATATTTTATAAATGATTAATTAGCAAGATTATATAATGCCCAATAATCTGGTTGCTTTACCTTCAGAATTTCTGGAACCTGTCTATTTTATAATATATTAGTTTACATAGACAAGAGGCAAATGTTGGAAACTACACAGAAAACTGACCTTGGGTACTTTTTAAAAATGGAATAGAAAAGATGTACAACCTATTATTTTAACGATTTAGGATTTTTCTAGTCGTCAGTACATTTTCCACTTAGCTTTTCAGTCGGAAGGCAAACAATCATGTCATGCATCTGTTTTTATTGAATCAATCATTATGCTTTTTCCTTTTAAATTGGATAATAACAATTATTTGGTGTTGCAGATTATATGGAATTCTTCCACGCGAGCTGAATTGCTCAAGTTTGTGGATCAGCAGCGGGCCAATCAACGTCCTGATGGTTCCTATGATTTGTTAGAATCACAATCTTTCACTTATCAAGCTTTATCAAAAGAGTTACATGTTGGCAATGTTTACCTGAGGGTCTACAATGATCAACCAGATTATGAAATAAGTGAGCCTGAGGTTTTCTCTGTTGCTCTTCTTAAATATATATCAGAACTAGTGCATACATTGAAAGACTTGGATGTTGCTGCTGCAAATACATTTGATCATAACTTTTCATCTCCGGAGTTATCCGCACTTCAAAACGGTGCAGTTAGTGTAGCTAGTGACAAAGAAAAAGCCAATGAATTTCTGAAGGTTTCTGGTGTAGACGAAAGGAGGGAGCAAGAAGCTTTAGCAATAAAGAATCTTCAAATTGGGTTGACATCTCTTCAGGTACACCAAGTGATTTGTTGAAACCTGGACCTCTTCAATAGATATATTAACTACCTTTTGTTTTTCTGCAGAACCTGTTGACGAGCAACCCTAGTTTGGCTGCTATGTTTTCCACGAAAGAACAGCTTACACCACTCTTTGAATGTCTAACCGTTGTTGTCCCTGTTGAAAGCAACATTCCGCAAATATGCCTTACAGTGCTGTTGCTTTTGACAACATATGCTCCTTGTTTGGAAGCTATGGTTGCAGAAAGGGCGAACGCCATCCTTTTATTACAGATACTTCACAGGAATCCTGCCTGCAGAGAAGGAGCTCTTGCAGTCCTTTATTCCCTGGCCGGCACGCCTGAGCTTGCTTGGGCTGTAGCCAAGCATGGTGGGGTTGTGTACATTCTTGAACTTATTCTGCCTATGCATGGTAAATCCTCATCCCCTCCCCCCAAAATAAAAAAAAAACAATGTATTTGTTTTCTCTATTGTTTGTTCATACATAGGTAATGATAATGTTGTTAAATAAAAAACATCATCTCCTTGATCTCTGAAATTCATTGTTGCATGAGCATTTACATTAAAGTTTGAAATATTATGTTAAAGAACCCACAGTGAAAGTGATATTAAAAATAAAACAAAAGCTTCTAGGTAACTTTTCTGAAATATGTATGGCAGCTAATTTTGTGTGTTGCTATTGGTTTAATGTTATTGGATTGACTTGTGAGTCTATTTTTCACTAGTTTTTATATAAGTATATATATATATATATATATTTAAACACAAACATCTCTTTGGCTGTCCATGGCTAATCTTGAATAGAATTGAGGGCATTGGCCAACCATTGATGCCTTAGGTGATTCTACATAGAAATTCTTTACCTAATAAGCTGCAGCATACACTCAGTGGAGTGTTTTCTGGATTATATCAAAGTATCTATCGTGGGCCTACCTTTATATGGATATTATATCGTATTTAAATTAAATTATGCTAAATTTCTTAGCATTCTTGGGTGCTTCGCTGCAATTAGGGTGTAAAATATCGGGTCTGGGAAACTACAGTAAATTTTCCAATCAATCTACCATTTGATTGCCTTCAAAAAATTATAGGCTGACTCCTTGCAGAGTGATATAAATTGTATAGACTATAGTCCTCAAATGCATAACATTGCATCAAAAGTTGTAACAATTGTGTATCCTTCTGATGTTAGTTTCATTTTGCAGAAGAAATTCCTTTACAGCAAAGAGCAGCAGCTGCATCCTTGTTGAGCAAGCTTGTTGGACAGCCAATGCATGGGCCTAGAGTAGCTATTACACTAGCAAGGTTTCTTCCAGATGGCTTAGTATCTGCTGTCAGGGATGGACCAGGTGAAGCGGTAGTTTCATCTCTTGATCAAACAACAGAAACACCAGAACTTGTATGGACACCAGCAATGGCAGCTTCTCTCTCTGCACAATTGTCAACTATGGCATTGGACCTCTACCAAGAACAGATGAAAGGCCGCCTTGATGATTGGGATGTACCTGAACAGGCATCAGGCCAACATGTGATGAGAGATGAACCACAGGTAAGCCTCATAAGATCACATACATCGGTTGGTTTCCAGATGTATATTGAGCTTCATGTGTGCTTCTTGTGCTTGCAGGTTGGGGGTATCTATGTAAGGCTTTTCTTGAAAGACCCAAAGTTTCCCTTGAGGAATCCCAAGAGATTTTTGGAAGGACTGTTGGATCAATATGTTTCATCAATTGCTGCAACCCATTATGAATCACGAGCTGCTGATTCTGAGCTTCCTTTGCTGCTGTCTGCTGCACTTGTGTCCTTGTTACGGGTACATCCTGCCCTTGCAGACCATGTTGGTTATCTTGGGTATGTTCCAAAACTCGTTGCTGCCATGGCATTTGAAGGAAGCCGAGAAAAGATGGCTTCTGAAGAGGTGACTAGTGCAAGCAATGATGGACATAAAGAAACTGAGGATGCACAATCAGATTCCAGCAGTCAGACCCCACAAGAACGTGTGCGCCTTAGTTGTTTACGAATATTACATCAACTGGCTTCTAGTACAATTTGTGCAGAGGCTATGGCAGCCACTAGTGTTGGGACTCCTCAGGTACTGAAATTTTAGAAACAATGTATTTGATTTTAGATTAGATCTTTAATTGGTTAATTATATAACCATGAATCTTAGTATTGCAACTGAAACAAAGTCCTACCTTTTTTTTACTTAACCTGTTCGCTCTTGTTTTGCTTTATTAAGTGCTCTGTTTTATACAAATATTTCCATGTGTGTCAAAACTGTTAAGAAATTTTAAGAATTCTTGAAGTGTCGTACATATTGTTTGGTTTCAATTTGGTCTTTGGATTAAGTTGAACAGATTTCAAACAAGAATTTCTATTTATTGAGAGGAAGAAATACAATCTACAAAATGATTGGTACTTTCTCATCTTTTATTCATCTATTAGTGGCTAGTTATTATAATTGATCTCTTAGAACATTGAAATTATGTTTATATCATAAGAAAGTTACTTAATACATTAATTTCGTGTATGTTATTAGTGGTACATTCTTTTATTAGTCAAAAGTTATTTGCATGTTACGTTTATTGGTCCCTTAACTTTACTTATGTTTCTACTTACCATTTGTTTGATAGCAACATTGCAAGCTCCACTAAATAGATGGTTTGTTTTGGTAAAATTGACATATACATTTTTTACTTGGTGTTTTGAATAATATGCCATCTCCATTTAATAATAAATGTTGATTTCAAGGTTCAAAAAATCAATTGGACTGGTACGTGCTGACCATTATTCACCTGTCCGACCAGCACTTGGATTGTATAATTTCTCCCTGTTCCTCCTCTCATTATCCTCCTCATTCTTCTCCTTTGCCTCCTCTTCTCCTTATCCTCTTTTCTCTCCCTCTTTCTCATTGGTCCGTGTCGATCATTTTGCTGGTATACTATGTGTGACATATTGGCACATACTTGACCCATACTGATCTAGCCTGGGACTGTATGTGCTGACCAGTATTCACCTGTCTGACCAGACTTGGATTGTGCAATTTCGCCCTGTTCCACCACCTCCTCCCGTCATTATTCTCCTCATCCTTCTTCTCCTATGTCTCCTCTCCTCCTTATCCTCTTTTCTCTCCCTCTTTCCCTTTGGTCTATGTTGATCATTTTGCCGGTATACTATATGTGACATATTGACACATACTAGACCCTTTCCGATGTAGCCTCGGGCTGGTACCAGTCTCATATTGAATTTTGAACCACTTGGTTGTTTTTCGCTCAAGTATGTTCCTTATAATGTCAAGCAAGGTTTCTTCTTACTTTTTATAGTGTTTTAACTTTACCATCATCATGGCTTCTCCTCAACTGATAAAATATATTCTTTTGTTAATATCCAAAAGGCCTTTATTATCTTCCCTCCATACTTCTTTTCTTTCTTCACCCCTTCTATGTAAAGATAATTCATGCTTCAGCAAATGATGAGATGCACTGTCGGTTATATAGAACTCATTAAACAAATTTGCAAATTTGTGGGACCTATTAGAATTTCCATTTGCAATTGCAGAAAATTGTTTAATTTAGTACTTTGCCTTGGTATAAACAGTTAAAAGTATCAATGTCGATGTTATAATGTCATATCTTGAACATTGATGTTCGCATGATTTGCATTTTTGCATTATTGATATGTTCATGCTTATTTCTTTCTTTTTTTTTTGCTGCACTGCAGTTTTGCTTGCTTGATTATTTAGATCTGGTGTTCACTCATTTTCTTTTCGGTGATCTTATTTCAGGTTGTTCCTTTGCTTATGAAAGCGATAGGTTGGCAAGGTGGTGGTATACTGGCTCTAGAGACACTAAAACGTGTTGTTGTTGCTGGAAATCGTGCCCGTGATGCACTTGTTGCACAGGCATTGAAGTAAGTTGCCCCAAATAAAGTTTATAGTTTCTTCTTACTTGCGAAAAGCTTCACAAATCTTGCATGTTTTGAAAAATAGGATCAATCTAGACCATCTTAATTTTATGCCAGACCATAGATTTACTTGTCCATTGACCAGCTTCAGAATTTGGCTTTTATATTATCTGCCAAAGAACAAATCTTATAATGGAATTACTTTGGTAAGAACTTTAATTTTCATGGAGTTCAGTGTACTTGATCTTATACCATCATTGCAGAATTTTTGTCATGGAAAAAGAACATAGGATGCTTTGAGGTTGAACTTCAGATTTAACGAAGTTCAGTTGTGTCTGTTCCTGTGGTTCTTCTCTACTATAGATTTGCCTTTAATTACTTTACATGCACTTGTCTTAGAGTAGAACTACTGTTATGTGGTTTCTCTGATGTACCATCACATATTCTGTCAAAACATACAATGGCCAAGGGAAGAAGTACAAGTACATAACTAGGAAAATGTTATGTGCTACATTGTTCGGTAGTCTTTGTAGATAATTCTAATTGCTTCATACTCTTGTCAAGAGGTCAATAGAAAGAGAGAATAATTTTAGCTAAGCTAATCTTTCTTAAGAAGTCTTGTAATGTTTTCAAGTTTATGGACTAATTGCTATTCCACTTGTCCACCACATGATTTTATAGTGCTTTCGATTGCATACTTGATTTTCATATTTATGGTTCTTAAGGGGCACTCAGCATGAGGCAGAAGGATTTTGCCTGTGGGAGATTAGGTTTGGGTCAATATGCGCAGCCTTATCCAGCCTAAGTACTTGCACAAACTTTATGCTAGAAGCTCATCCATATCACTTTTCAAATCATTTATGAAGCTGCACCAGTTTCCTTTAAAATCTGAACTGAAAATATAGTGGCATTTGCTGATCTATTCTATTGAGAATACGATTTATCTTCTTACTTCTATATTGGGATAAAATCTTTTGGCTTCAACAATGTATTTTTGCATGTAAATCGTAGGGTCGGCCTTGTGGAAGTACTTCTTGGTCTTCTTGACTGGAGAGCTGGTGGGAGACATGGACTATGTGCACAAATGAAATGGAATGAATCTGAAGCTTCAATTGGGCGAGTCCTTGCAGTGGAGGTAAAGCTCCTTTTGAAAGTTCTTTGTGTCATATTCTCCAATCGGGTATTTGTCTGCCACAATAGATCCATGAAGTTCCAGTTTGTTAGGGGTATCAATTGAATTTTCATTCTTGTTTAACACTATAACTTCATAGTTGAGTTAGAGCTCTGAAGCTAACATGTTTGCATTTTTGCCTGTAGTATATTTAGGATAGAAGGATAATATCAAACCCTAATATCATGCTTATCATGTGTACTGTGACCACTGATGGAAGGTGAAATTGAATGATTATGAACTTAGAAAGTTCCTAAACAGATTTGTGTGAAGTTTGCGCCGTTACTTTCTATAGAATATTTTATTATAAAATTCATGGCTATTAATCTAGGCAAGGGAACTTGACTTGAAGTTTGATTTGTGTGATTTGATCCAGGTTTTGCATGCTTTTGCAGCAGAGGGTGCCCATTGTGGTAAAATTCGAGACATATTAAATGCTTCTGATGTAAGTTTTGAGTTAGTTTGTGCATTTAGTTACTTCTTTTCTTACTTTGAATATATGCTGACATATCCTGTAATAAATTTCCAAGATTATGAAATCTTATATTGAACAATTGTAATACCCTGCTGATTTCCTTTGATCTTCTTCTTAATTATACATGGTTTTCAACAAACTTTCTGCACTGGGCAAAATTAGGTACTGCAGCACTTGTAAATAAGTGCTTGGAAGTTGCTCTTAATTGTTTATCATAATGTTTTATGGAAAAGGCACACAATAATTTTTAGGTTGTTGCTTTGAGGTGCCTCTATTATGCTTCACAATTTGATTGACAGTGTCGATGTTTCCTTTTGCTTTTGTTAAGTTGTGGTTGAATTATTCTTAAATAGCCGAAGGCCCCATCACAGGTGCACTCTATGTCGGCTATTCCAATGGCTTGAATAGCATAAGCCTTCTGTGGCCCAATTTGTTTACATTTTTGTTTTGTGGCATTGAATATTGATACCTTTCTGGCACAAATGGAACCTTGTGTTGGTCAGGATTTCCCTTGCTTGCTGGTTGGCAAGTAACAAAACTTGACTTAGGCATATACATTGGCACCTGTAGCATGACTCAGAGTGTAGCATGCTACTGCACATAACAATTGGCACAACATTCTTTGGCTTAAACTGAATTTGCTAGAAGCAGGTCCATCTAGTCCTATCGACTAATTCATACAAATATTGACTTTAGATGACCCTGACCAGTCTCTGATACACCACCTAAGTTAAGATTACGATGCCCTTCAGGAATCCTTGCAACTGATTTTGATCAACAAGGACTGTATTTAACTTTTGTTGGAATAAACTTAAAATGTACATTATATTGAGCTTGGTTAAGCAATTATAATTGGGCAATAACAACCTGAAAAATAGACAACTAGACAATGTCTGACCTGTTATTTGACTCTGTTGTAGTTTATTGCTGCCAAAATAATTGACTATGGGCTTATAAATGATTGTTCTTGACCAAGTCAGTGGACAGTAGGATTTCTTCTATTAGTAATGGATTTCCCAATCTCAAGCATAAAGTTGTATTATTATTTTTATTTTATTTGATGTTAACCACTTAAAGCCACGATTACAGAAAATATATGCACACGATTTGTGTTCTCATCGCTGTAGATGTTAGTTGTAGCTGACTTTTGCTTGTTGTCACTGAGTATTTGCTTTGCCAGGTATGGAGTGCTTATAAAGATCAAAAACACGATCTTTTCCTCCCTTCAAATGCTCAATCTGCGGCTGCTGGAGTTGCGGGACTAATTGAGAGCTCATCATCGAAATTTACATATGCACTTACTGCTCCACCTCCACAGCCCGCTCCAATGAGGCTACCACCTACTGCTTCTGCTGCAAACTCAAATGAAAAGTAGAACCACCAGTCCATATAGAGAGAGACAGATGCATGCTCCAGTAGCTAGCATCATCCCGGAATGGTACAGCTGTCCCACCCCCATCCCCAACAAAAAGAGTACATAGTGTACAGTATCTTGATTTTAAATGTTGAAGGAAAGGCCAATTTTATATTTTTGCTTGTAAAAGCTTGAATTCCTATCGGTTTATGTATCATATTTCTTTGTATCTAAATGCTGAAATAAGTGAGGTTTGTTAAGGTTGGATCTTTTCGACTGTTAGTTATTCAAAGCTATAGAAGATACCCAGAATTTCCAGTCTTTGTTATGCAAAGTTCAATGTGCCTCTGAGCAAAGGGATTCCTGTAGAAGATGCGCTGAATTTGGAGTCTCCGTTTGTGCAAAATTCAAAGTGCCTCTGAGCAAAGGGGTCTGCTCCAGCTCGGTCCAGCTATCACACCATCGAAACTTTGCAGTTCACTGATCGTCATCAAATCATGATAGTAAGATTCTTTACCCAGAAAAGATGCATTTGTATTTGTTGATATTGTGTGAATCTCCACCAATGACCTTAGTGGTTAGAGGCCTTTAGAATCGGCACAAAAAGTTCACACGCTCCTTTACTCTCTCGGCCACCCGAGCTTTGTTCTCTACTCCAGCTAATCGCCACCTTAGACATCCGCGTTCTGTCGCAGATTGACTTGATAGATCAACTTTAGGTCAACTTGATAGATTAGATAGCTTGATAGGTATTGTTGCAACTCGACTCAACCAAGTTACCACATTGATAAGATCTAAATTGTCCATCAAAAACTAGACTTGTTGACAATGATGGCAATAGAAAATAATCTCCAATTAAGTAATGATTTAGAGAATTTTTTATTTTACCACAAGTGATTAAGAGGCTTTGACTATAAATAGAAGGTCTCTCTCTGGTCATCTTAGAAACTTGCTGACTTAGGCATAGAGGGAGCAAATCGGGAGTGAACTCGACAATGGTCTTTTGTTGCAAGATAGAAGGCCCATGCATTCTTATTTTGGATTCTTAGATACTTTTTTTTTTTTTCGCTTTCCTCTTTCTCCCATCGACCTTGAGATTCGAAATAAAGTTTCTTTAACTCCTACATTAACTTCTTTCTCCCATCGACCTTGAGATTCGAAATAAAGTTTCTTTAACTCCTACATTAACTTCGAGCTTGTACCAAGTCATATTGTATTTGTGATTCCAGTAGATGACCGATCATTGAAACCTTGTAGATGATACATCGTTCCGAAATTATAATATGTATCCTAATAGTGAATATTCTCTATAGTGTCCAAAATTTAAGGAATCTCCAACAATAACCCAGTTGTGGATGCAAACATAAAAATCATGATTATATTATTATTTGAAAACTTTTAATATTAGAATTTAAAAATTAAGTAACAATTAATCAAATAAATGATGTGTATCATTCGATATCATTCAGAAAGTCTTTATCTGATTTATAGATATATTGCCATTAGTTTCAAAAATTATAATAATACCGATCTATAAGGAGAACTAGAGTTATCTCATCTCTTCCTATCATTCAATAAGATAGCTATAAACAATGAATTAGGGACTAAGAAGAGATGAGAAAAGACTGTAATCTCTTAATAACTTATACATTTCGTCCCTATAAAATCTTGTGTTTTTATAGACGAGAGCATAATATATAGGATGGTAATTAAGAGAGTCCCTTCCATCAAGATCATTTCTTAAAGAATCCTATCATAATTAGACATAATTTTTATTGATCAATAATTATAATCAGAATCTAACAATATCTATAATATATTTTACCTAATTAGATAGGGTCACATAATCTAGTATTTTTTCACTTTGTTTATTGATTAGAAATAATAAAAAAATAAAATAAAATATTATTTGAAAATAATTTACTTAATTAAATTTTAATTTTTTAAAAAATATTTTACACGTATGCACGAATTTAATAAAATAGATCAATAAGTCGAATAAACATAATATCACATTAAATTTGACTACCAACTCAGTAATATGTTATCAATATTATACTTCCTTTTATATACCACAACATTATTAACTTTTTCTAATGAAATCTAAAATGACTTCCATAATTTATCTTATCAACATGAACCTATTAGACACATTCAATCATACATATACAAATATGAATAGGATAGCAAAAATAGATAATTTTAAATATATAAATAAAAATATTAATTATAATATCTACTTAAATATATATATATCACTATATCTTTTATTTGTTGCTCACAAACTTAATTATAATAATATATTCTTTCATATAATTTAGATTATAAGTCATAAGTGAATAAATCAGTAATCAATATAGTAAAACTTAAGTTCTTAATTAATATTGAGACTCTTTCTCTAATCATTAAGTGTTTATATTAGAATTGCATGAGTACTTGCTATTGTTAGAAAAAAAAAACTATTATGATATGTTACAAAGTATTTTCAGTCATTTAACAATCTAACCACACCAAGTCCTCAAATAAAATTTTACGATCATAAAGTTTGATTAGTGGCATCAAAGCATACCAAAAAATCAATTTTAATTGTTAATAATATAGTAGTTCATTACTTAATATTTTTTTATAAATTATCTTTTCAACTAAAAATTATAAAATGTAAAGTTGACTTCCTATTATTAAGACAATTCACAAAATCAACATATAAAAATATCATCATTTTAAGCTGATCTAATTCTGTATATATGCACATGTAAGATTTCGTCCATTTTAGATATCTTATTACTATCTTTGTAGTCTTTTTGTATTTTATTATTTGATAACTCTACTATATGCTAAGTATTTTGATTATAAAATTGATATTTGATTTGATATAGGTGTAATAAATTTTCAACTACGTATACATAATCAATATTTTTTATCTGATTTTTTAAGTCATTTTAAAAATATTTATTTTGATCAAAATTTTTTACTTTTCTCATTTGCTAAACAAAATTATATAATAAATCTCTTCAATTATTTTAAAATTTTTAATGAGAAGTTTCTCAATTTGATATAATAAACCAAGATCACTATTGATAAGTAAAATATTATCCATAAATATAATCAATATAACAAGCTTGCTCCAATTGGTTTTCAAATATAAATAGTGATCAATAGTATTTTTTTTTTTAATTTGAAGAAAGTAATTATATTAACAAATTTTATATACCATTGTTTTGAAGGCTTGTTTAGGTAATAAATAGATTTTCTAAATTTACACACCAAATTATATATATATTTTTTAATTTTCTCTATGAATCATTTATGTTAATCAATATAAATCTAGATTCTCAAAAAATTGATTTATATATATATATATATATATATATATATATAACTCAAAATCATAATGTTATTAATGTCATAATGATTCTTAACGAGTTCATTTAGAAAATTAGAGAAAATTTCTCATTATGGTCGATGTATTTTTTTTACGAGTAAAATCTTTTATCACACTTTTATATCGTTCAATATTATTATTTTATTTATATTTGTATAATAGACTCTTTTATAGTTATTAGAAAATTCGATGACTTCTTAAGTACCATTCTAGTCTATTGATTTTGACTCTTCTTTTATTGTATTATATAATTTTTCAGAATCACTACTTTTCATAACTTATAAAAATAATGAGGGATCAATTGATTCTTATATCATAATTTGATTCTAATTGATGTACCACACTTTCAACAAAAATGACATGTTTCTTTTCAATTTGAGATACCCTCAAAGCTATCGATTATGATTATTCTACAAGTTCATCAACAATGACAACAATATTATATGTGAGTTCACTTATGTTATTTTATTTATTTTTTTATTTTATTAAATTATTTCATAATTTGAATAACAACAATCTCTAGAATATAAAATGATCAAGGAGTATTAACTTGTATCTTCTCGATGTGAAGATTAAATTTTAATATTTTCACTCTCACTAATTTATTATTTTTTAGGAATATTACATTACTAGATTCAACTATTTTTATACTATGATTATAACAATAATATCTATATCCCATTAAAAATTTTAGGATAAATAATAAAATATTTAAAATAATTTTTGAATTTAATTTATTTTCATGTGATATAAAGATCCTTAGCATTTGACATAAAAATCTCAAGTCGGGTTTCCTATTAGTTTATAACTCAAAATAAATTAATAGAATTTCTATATTATGAAATTTGTTCAAGATATACATAATTATCTTTAGGTTTTCTCCTCAAATTGATTTAGGTATAAAATAATAATTTATCATGCTCCCAACAACTTTTATAGGAATCTAATTTCATCTTTTAGAAATCCCTTTCTATTGTGATACATCCGATAAAGGATAATAAGTATAATACCTCACTTTTCTAGGAATCTAGTAAAGAATTCAAAATTATGATCAACTCATCATATTTACTATAAAATTTACTAATCTTATCAAATTTGATAATTTTAACCCCTTTAGTAAAGGATCTCTATATGATACTATATATATATATATATATATATATATATATATATATATATATATATATATATATATGTGAATAAAATTTCTCTCTACTAAAATAAAAAAACATAGAGTGACCTATAAATATGTGTATAAAAACTCAAAGAATTTATGAAACTATATTTTATTCTAACATTTGGTTATAGGATAATCATAAACTCAATATTTGTATTAATTCTATACAAATCATGATATAGAATTTAAAAGTTAACTTTTGTTAATTCTAGATAAAGAACTTAAAATTTTAAAATTATAGAAATTTCACATCAGATGAATCATTTCTACGCGATAAGTACCAACTACTATTGCTTTTGTTTTAAGATGATTACCAGTAATGATAAATATTTTATATTTTTAGTTTTTATATTAAAATAAATCTCTATTATTGGTAACATAAGTTGAAATGCTAGAACCAATCAATTAATTATTATAAAAGGAGTCTTGTAATGTTTAATTTAAAATATACAAATATCATACTTATACCTTTTTGAACCAAAACCTCGTGATCCATTTCATATCTTTCTTGTCATAGGTGTAATACTTTATTGTAAAGATTTTTTTATTAAGTTTATATGGTATTTACAAGCTCAAGTGATTTATGCATTAATTTTTTTTATTATTTCTCACTCCTTAAGTAGTATTCAAAATATCTAGTCAGCTCATTTAAGTTTTATTTATTCTTAATTTTATAATAATAAATTTTAAATGAGTTAAAATAAGTAAAATAAATTAAACGAGAAAGAACTCAATTATATTTATATCTAATATTCTTAAGCT